ATACATAATAATACATACATACATACATACATACATACATACATACATACATACATACACATATATATATAATATATATATATATATATATATATATATATATACTCACCCACAGACACAAATAAATATATATTGCATAATTACCTGGCCGGTCACTTTCGCTGTGGTATTGCTGGTTGATATCTCATGTATAAACAGCCTGCACGGTCCATCACAGATGAATACCATGCGTGGCTTATCCCTCGCTCGCGTGTTCCGAACTGCACTCGGACTAGGCACCGGGGAAGGTGATGGGGACCTCATATGCGATGTATAGGCATTCGAGGGCACATGGACATAGCTCATTTGGGTGCCGTACGATTCGTGCGAGGAGTTGTTCGAATGGTTTGAAGCTGGTTTGAGGTTCGGGTTCTTGGAGATGGGCATGGGGCTGGTATCCATCCGACGCACCGGCTGTGGTGGTACGGAGGGATCGTTTGCGGAGAGTAGGGCCGCTGCGATCCACCTAGGTGTGGGGCATACAATTGGTTGGAGAACGATAGGTTGACAGAGCCAAATGACTTTGCATTGAAGACCGTAGTTGATGGGCCATTACAACTGATGTGTCGTCAAGGGGTATCAAAGTACCAGCGCCATGCGCGAGGACTTGAAGTAATCTCGCCTCTCCATGCTACAAATGCACACAATAATGTTCGTGTACTACACCACCGGGTGATCAAGCATTGCACAAGCAGCAGAGTACGATTAGGATATCAACCCGCATAAGCCCATTCCAATACATATGATGAAAGCTAGCTGAGCGATGCGAAACAAGCGGAGCGGTACTGTCGCCACTACAACCGTTTGCAACAACACCAGATATCAAACGGGAACTAAGATCAGCAGATGCCGACTGTCCACTACAACAGAATAACAGTCTAGCAAATAACGGGACACCATTCACAACCGAAGATGAAGCGGATTGCAATGCTTCACAAGCCTCACTCAGTGTTACCATAACATACGCACAGGTCCGATGGAAACAACTACATACTATAGGGCCATATATATATATATATCATGCAAAGCTGGTGGAAAGAACACTGTCCCAAACTCAAGCCTCGTGACTACACACCTTCGTGCTTCGTAGCCAGAGCTGACGGCAAATATATGGGATGTCATATCAGTGAAGACTACCTCGAATTCACATCGCCCTCCTGATTTAAGTAGACAGTCGCGTAAGTATGAGGAACAATTGGAAATGGATTGAAACAATGCTTGTGACATACCAGGCGCCAACACACGGGTACAATTAATAGATTTGTCAGGCCACAGGCCACAGGCGCACTCTCTAAGTAATATATAACTCTCCAAGAAACACCTGGTAGGATAGCGATAGCTACCTGAAGTATATCTCAGATGCTACACTGTGGGATCAAAGGTACATAGCACCCAACGAATGATACTTATCCACCGTCTCTTAATTAATACTACTTAATTTTCTTAACATATCTTAATTTTTTTAATAGTACTTAATTTTTTTCTCAATATTACTTAATTTTTGAATGGTACTAAAATTTCTAGGTTTATATACGTAATAATGGGCCACAGATCAACAACCCACGACAATGTGAACGTTCAAGACCTTGTGTGTTAAATCTAGTTCTACCACCCGTATCCTCTGATGGCGCGAATACCCACAATCTTGTACACTCAATACACTTCTACATACACATGCTACACAGACCCTATGGATATCTACAATGCCGTATACGCAATACAACTCTGCACAACACATACCGCTGATCCACTGGCCAGGAGGATAGCGTACACTTTGAATAGTCTTTGAATATCGGGCTGCGGTCATATGTCCGTCCACATGCTCTGAACGTTGCAGCTCGCCATTCTTGTACACGCACACACCGATCTCCTTCCATGTTGCAACCTGAAGTACACCATAATCGAATTAGTTGTTGCACCGATACACGATTTTACATGATTAATGGATCGGTTTATCGAATTTAGCTGCATTATTGTACAAAACTGGCACACACGAGCCAATCCCCTTCCATATTGCAATTGAACTAAATGTCGACATTCGATATTCTGCAATGAATGAATGTATCTCCGGAGATTGCACTGTGGTATTAGGACAAAAGTGTACTATGAATGAATGTATCTGCGGAGATTGTACTGTGGTATTAGGACAAAAGTGTACTATGAATGAATGTATCTGCGGAGATTGCACTGTGGTATTAGGACAAAAGTGTACTTTGAATGAATGTATCTCCGAGATTGCACTGTGGTATCAGGACAATAGTGTACTGTGCGACCCGAGTATACTAACTTCTCAGAGGTATCCGACATGCCAATAAAGAATTAGAGACCATCTGCAGTCAACAACAGACGGTTTGAATTGAATTTTCTACCGATATTAGGCCCGAATTCGTTCGGTATACAAAACATAGTATCCGGCTTAAGTGAACCTCGCATAAACTAGAGTATTCATTGGCCAGTCCGATTGTGTACTAAGATGTCACAATCGCGTGTGTGTAAGTGCGCGAGATAACATCCAGAATACGACCTGCGACCACTCAGCGTTCGAGACAATATTGCCCGCACTCCAGAGCCAATCTAGCCCACAGAGGGTAGCCTCCTTCCAAAGTGCGACCGGAGTCTATGACTTAAAGGACACACACAAAGTATGTCGATACATAGCTTGATACAACATGCGCTTACGCCAGCCTTTCCATGGCACATGGTATGACTACACTGGTTGTGTAGCGGTAGTCGGTGCATATGGTGCCTTGTACAGCATAGAAACAAGACATACATGCATGCATAAGGTATATGTACATATACGACACAACAATCCCAGTACGTGGAAGTGTTCAAGCTAAAGTATAGAGATGGCCACGGGCCCACACAGCGACGAATATCAATTCGTCACCACCATGGCGCACAAGCTCTGTTCACATATTATATTTCTGAGCTTGTACTGTAGTCTGAACGCACAAGCTCTGTTCCACATATTTCTGAGCTTGTACTGTAGTCTGAACGCACAAGCTCTGTTCCACATATTATATTTCTGAGCTTGTACTGTAGTCTGAACGCACAAGCTCTTTTCCACATATCTCTGAGCTTGTACTGTAGTTTGAACGCACAATCTCTGTTCACATATTTCTGAGCTTGTACTGTAGTCTGAATCGAGACAGTGCCGATGGGCTCAAAGCCGCCGTACGCACATTGCTATACACACTTGCGGTAGTTCTTTGATCGCTTATAAATTGGGTTGCCTCGGGCTGATCGACCGCAATTGCACTGTTATGGTGCCGCAAACCTGCATGAACGTCACAAGCGTCTAACCCAATACGCCTACCTTAAACCGACTGCCCCGGTATTGTACGGGTCCTTTGTACCAGGGAATGTGCTCGGACTGTAGCGCTGACAATCTGCAGTTGTCTATAGACAGTAGAGTGAATGCCTGCCTATGCATATCTTCGGATGCCTGCGCCTCGGCTTGCTCGGGATTTAACGGTTCGTCGGCTGCTTCTGCACAATCGCAACACGACATCAGGCCTTAAAACTACTGAATACATGCCTGGTGACGAACAACACCCACCCCCTTGTCTCTAACAGTACTTAAACCAATACTAGACAGTAAGAATATCACAAGATAATCGCTAAACACATATACTCACGTCTGTTCTCCCTCGTGCTGGCCCGCTTGTCTCTCGAGCTGTGCCTCTGAAACGTAGCTGTCGGCCTGTCATCTACGCTTCCCTCCAGCACTGTAACCGGTGTACCGTTCTCTTCCGCCGGATCACAGGTGCATTGCTCTCCACAGAGTGGTGTGCGGCTCTCGGTAGCCGTGGGTGGAGTAATCTCAGCCCATTGGCTCTTGAGATACACCTGGAGTCCGTGGATGGATGTGTCTGGCTCCATGTTGGATGGCAGAGCTATGGTACGGGAGGTTAAAATAAAAAAATATACCACATTAGGTGATAGATGTTCAGTACTTCAAGAGCGATATATATATATAAAACAAAGATTTCGGTTAGGTGGGTCTTGTTCTAGACTAGCTTGTATGGCATTGTCATGCACTGTAACGTTATTCATATCAGACTGGAATGGAATTGTTGTCTATGTGCATTGTTGAAACTATCCCTCGCGGTCGGCGGATAGAGACGTCTGACTCCGTGTGGGAGGACCGAGATCCGACAAGTGTGATGTAAAATATACATTCAGATCAGTAAAACTCGAGTGTAGTTTGGGTAATACACATCAAGGAGATCTGCTTGCGATCCACAAGTATGGGCAACCGAAACCATACTTGAGGGCAAAACTATGAAGCACAGAGTAGAAGCCCTGATTCCAGGTCTGGACATAATCCTGAGTATCAGTACTGCAAACCAAAAGTCATAACACGAGCGCCGTAGTCTAGCTCATGACAAATGACCGAGAATAAAAAGCCTTGCTAAGATGTACTCTAGTTCCGAGAATAAAAAACCCTTGCTAAGATGTACTCTAGTTCTGAGAAGAAGAAAAACCGTTGCTAAGATGTACTCTAGTTTGAGGTGCACGACCCCCCCCGGGGTTGAAGTGCAGCCGTGCGAGACGCAAAGACCTCGAGCGACCTGATATGCACTTCATGCACCGCAAACGATAGAAGAAAAGATCTGCATCGCTTATAACGGCAGGCAAAGTGGTTTAACGTATACGACATGGCATAGAGAGAAGCCAAAGGAAACTTTTTCAACTCTCAAGCGCGCCCCCCCCCCCCCCCCAAACGACAGCTCGTGCAGTAAATTTACAACTATATCTCTGTAGTCACGCACCTTCCGTATCAGTCACCAGCGCCGGCTCGTCTCTACAGATGTCTTCTAGAGCCGCTCTCAGCACACTATCGGCGCAGTTCAAATCAACAACCGGCTGCACTCGCATAGGGCGTGTGTCTGGATGACTGGCCTCGGAATTGTGGATCTCAAACATGGTAGCTGCTGCGTGGGTGGCTAGGATGACTTTCAGATCCACACCGACTGCCATAGTGGCCGAGGGATCGCCAAATTGCAGGACGAGATCAGCTTCTCGTGTAGATGTGTTCCGGTCAGCTGATGGAGCCTCGTTGAACCCTACGTTCAGCATCTGAATTGCGGGATTGAAGATTAATTTGGAACTACATCGTTCGCGCTTTTGCCGAGCTATTCGTATCGGATACCCAAAGAACCACAGAATAAAAAGGGTCAGGGATATATAGTTTTTCCCACCTAGGCGTAAAGCAATATGAAGTGTGGGAAAGAGTAAACGGTTATCGAATACTTCTGCGTACAGTATAAGTACGTGCAGATATTACCAAAGAATATCAGTTGATGCACAGCCACATGACGACCTACAACACACTATCACTTACAAAAATAAAGATATTTCTATCGGCTAAACAATAAC